CCAAACAGCCTCTGGGCCCCGACAGGCCAGCTCCTATGGGAGAGCAGAACTCCTTCAGGAGTCGGGGTCAAAGTCCCGGCAGGATCCGTGCCCGAGTTAACTAGGAGGCTTTGGGCAAGTTTCTCTCTTCCGAGCCCCAGTTCTCCTATCTGTCCGAGGGGTTCTTTCGCCACTTGCCCCCGACTCCCTCGCGGGGGGGATGGAAGCTCCCCAGGAAAGAGCCGCCCCCCTGCCCCCGGCCCCCGCGGATGGAGTCACGGCCAGCCGAAGGCTCCAGGCGGTTCCGAGGCCCGCAACCCAAAACCTTCCTCGGCCCCCAGGACCCGGCTCTGCCTCAGCCTCTAGGACCCGCCCCACTGAGCAGATGCAGACGCAACTTACTTTTTGACGCCGTTCTCCATGTACTCGCTGCGGTAGAAGCCCGCCAGGTCGTCGGCCAGCTCCCCCTGGAACTCACTCTTCATCTCGTACTGTCTGCCGGCCACCAGCGGCTCCTGGAGGTGCACGACCAGGTACTCGGTGAGCTCCACCAGCTCCGTCCTGACGATGACAGGTTGCGGCTGGAAGCCCCCCACGCCCGACAAGGCCACCATGTGCCCCTGGTGGTTGGTGTAGTTGAGCCTCTTGCTGTGGATGACGACGATGTTGGTGGACTCCTTGCACGTGAAGCGAACGATGCTTGTGCCCGTGAAGACGTACAGGCCCTTATTGTTGGGGGTGAGGTAGGGCCTCAGCGTCACGTTGTAGGAGTTGGGAATCAGCGTCTTGGGTAGACGGTAGACGTTCCATGGCTTGCTTTGGTCCAAGGTAGTAGCCACGGTGGTGGTAGGGCCCGTGGGGGCCGCCGTGGAGGCCGCCGTGGAACTCTCGGTGCTCCTGTTCTTCTCCTGGGAGTACACCACGGACAGAGCGATGATGGTGCACACGGCCGCCACGCCCAGGAGGATGGCCAGGATGCCCACAGGCTTGGAAATGTAGAAGCCCTTGGCCATGGTGAGGGCAGGGGGGGAGCTGGGGGAGGTTCAGGACGGCGAGGAGCAGGCGCAGCGTCTGGCCAGACTTATATCCCTGAGGGGCAGGGGGAGGAGCCCCACAGCCCACAGATTGGGCAAAAATTAACCAGGGCTCAGGCAGGCAAAGGTCAGTGGGCTGGCCAGGGGCGCCCTGTGCTCGGGCCCTGGAGAGGCTGAGATCCAGGAACAGTGTGCTGGGGGTGCCTGGTGGGGAGCAAACAGCGTCCGGTTACAGGCTGCAGGAAGGAGGGCTGACGGGCAGGCAGCGGGTAGACGGAGCGGCAGGGCCGGGTGGCATCGATCGGCCTGTGCCCCGGGACAGCGGGGACAGAGGAGGGGGACCGAGGTTAGAGTCTGCGAAGGACTTCCCAGGAGCAAGAAGGAGGAGATACAAGGGAGGAGAGGATCGGTTTCTGGCTTGGGACAAGAGTGCCTCGGGTCACCCCCGTGGCTGGATCCTGGCAGGGTGCCCGGGGCTCGTCGGCGACAGGGGCCCAGCCCTCCCTCGATTCTTTCAGAGCAGGGAGTCCTTCCAGGTTCCCCCTCTCACCCCTTCCTGCCCAAAACTTCTATCTCAGCCATTGGCATACTGAGGGGAAAGAAAGATGTTTTGCCATGTTTTTTTTTTGTTTTGTTGGTTTTAAAATGTATATTTATTTTTCAGAGAGAGGGAGAGAGAGAGAGAGTGTGTGTGTGAACAGGGGAGGAGCAGAGAGGAGGGGAGACAGAGAATCCAAAGCAGGCTCCATGCTGTCCGCACAGACGAACCGTGAGATCATGACCTGAGCCCAAGTCGACACTTAACTGACTGAACCACCCAGGCGCCCCTGTTTTGTTTTGTTTTGTTTTGTTTTGTTTTGTTTTGTTTTTAAAGAAAGGAGGCTGGGGGCGCCTGGGTGGCTCAGTCAATTAAGCGTCTGACTCCTGATTTTGGCTCAGGCCATGATCTCGCGGTTCGTGAGTTCAAGCCCCGAAGCAGGCTCTGTGCTGACAGTTCGGAGCCTGTTTGGGATTCTCTCTCTCTCCCTCTTTCTCTGCCCCACCCCCACCCTTGTCAAAATAAATAAATAAACTTTTTAAAAAAGAGAGAGAGAGAGAAGAGGCTGGTGGAGACTTAACCTCTTCCCTGCTGTGACCTTGGGCAGGTAACTTTCTCTTTCTGAGATCTCTCTCTTCATAAATAGATAATAGCATTCACCTCTTGGGTTTGTTGCACAGATTTACTGAGAAAACACGTTGAACTCCACATAATAGACCTGAAACATCGTGCCCTTCTTCCCCACTCAGAGCTCGGCCAGGCCTCTATTCCCATCCTCAGTGGCAACGAAGATCTCACTCATCATACTTAATAAAATAATGTTCGTGATCACTCTTGCCATCCAGCAGCCCAGTGACTCAGACCTTAACCCCTCCTGACCCTCACCTCCACATCCAATTCTACCCTCATCCTCTGATCTGATCATGTCCTTGGTCAAAGTCACTCTCTCTGTTTAAGTAGACACCACTATACTCTCATGGACTCACCACTTCCGCTCGGGCCCCCTCCAACCTGTTTGGCCCAAGAATTGGGTCATTTTTCACCACGGCTTACAACCTTTCTGGGTCTCCTGGCTGGCTCAGTCAGTGGAATGTGCGACTCGAGCCTGGGGCTGGGAGTTCAAGCCCCATGTTGGGCGTAGAGATTACTGAAACATAAAATCTTTTTTTAAAAATTTAGTCAGCTTTCATTCCTTCTTTCTTGTTTTTTTTTCTAATTTTATTTTTTATTTTTTAAAATTTACATCC